GTCAGTTAAAGTAACGCAGTGCCATATCGCAAAAAATAGCCTGGTCATGAAAGGGGGTAAATCTTCTGGAGGTCAAGTGGTTAAGGAAAATGGAATGGGCAGAAAGTGTTCTTGGCCAGCCTTGACTATCAGGTCTCGGATATGGCCACCATGTTCAAAATGTATTCACAGATGTATTGCCTTTGGGGACCTAACAACAACAGGTTTTAAGAAGGCTTTGAAGGAGGAGACATTTGTATACATTTTTAAGTGGAGCATACAAATACATCCTAGTTATGTATGCACAACTTTTTATATACAGCAAACTATGTTTTAAATGGTTACTTTGGCTAATTTACAAATATCTTAAAGTACCCCTTTCATGTGGTAGTGTAAAGCAGCAGCTGGAATGTATTTCAGACTCAATGGGGTGCCTGCACAAACCTTAGTCCGACATTGTTACTGCCCTAGTAGCCCCTATAAAAACTTAGGATGCTGCAGTTTGTCAAATGGCCAAAAAAATACCAAAGGCTGCCTTTCCTTATCCAACAATTCCCTACTAAAATTGAGACAGCACATCACTTTACCAATCATCAGAGAGCTGCAGAAAATGAGCTGTTCCTTACAAATGTGAAGATCTAACTATCAAAGCTCTTTAGGTTTGGGAACTCAGGCCCGGAAATGTGGAACAAAATTATGTACAGACCTACATGATATTTCAGCAGCTACTTTATACAACTATACTAAAGGGAATGGTTGCTTTGAAATGTATTTCCACTTTTGCAGCCAAACTGGGCTAACACCTTCTTTATATCTGTCCCATTTACATAGCATAACGTGAAAAAAAAAAATCCCTGGTTACCCTTTTAAGTACGTTTTACTTGCTTAAAAATCTTTACATTTTGTCTCTGCTTTGTGATATTTATAAGGGGCTGTGGAGTAATGTTTAACATAATTAACCCTGTCTGTACTGTGCCTGCAGTTCTTCATTCATTGCTGAAGCTTGCTTGTTAGCTATTGCTAGACGACATAAACCTGCTGTTGTCAGGTGCAAATAGAGGTCAATGTATATGCATAGTCAAATCTAAATATGGCTTTAAAATTAATTATGTTTGTAAGGATGCCCATTTTATCATGTTATCATTTATGAATATTTCAACAATATAATTCATGTAAAATATGATTAAGATAGAAGGAAAGCCAATACAATGACTTGCTCTTTAAATGTTGCCCCTGCCCCCCTTCCCTTCCCATCCACTGGTCTGCAAAAAGTTTATATTAAGTCTCAAGGTCATTGTAAACATGTTTATTTTCTCCAAAATGGTCATGCGAGCGTTAAACTCCAGCAAACATGTCTATCTGTGGAAGCAAATTCTTTCAGGGTCAACAATAGTTATGGATGCCAGTCAGACCACTTGACTCCTCCAAGGATTCAGCAACATTGTCAGCCCTCAACAAGCAGACACACTCACTGGAGCTTGTTGGTCACATGGACTCTTGGCAAAAGTAAAATAAATAGATATGAGTATTTACATTGAAATTTATTAGAAACTATACACATGATAAATAACAGCAATGGGTAGGCAACATTTAAAAGGTGGGTGATTGCCTTTCCTACTTTAAAAAAGAAGTATGGCCAAAGCTCAAAGCTTTGGTCATATTTCTCTTGTTTGTCACAAGAGTGAACTTTTTCTGTGGCCCATAATCAGCCGACAAGGGATTAATGTCTGCTGTCAGCTGATGTCACAGAGCCACTCCAACCTCTTAATGTATCCTGACAATAATGTCATTATTCACCCAGAAGCCCAATTGGCAGCTGGCTCAGCCTCTCAGCATGTTGCTGAGAACCTAAGCCAGCCATTCCTGCTGCCTCCACAGCCTGGTTTCTCAGTGAGTGCTAGAGGGGCAAAGCAGAGAGCCATTGACTGGCAGTCACTGCTTTCTGCTTAGCGAAGACCAAGACCCGAGTGACCAGTGGTCTTGTGATCACTTTGTTCCCAGGCTTAGAGCCACAGCCAATAGTGTAACTATATAGATGAATATGTAGGTTTGCTTTATTATTCCTGTGCTTCTCCTTTTAAGTAAAAATATGTTTTGATTTATTCACAGACATTAATTTTTACATTTCGGTTGTAAACAATCACCAATAAGTTACATTACAGAGATAATACACCAATTTGTCTACAAAAGGAGAGTGAACCTCTCTTGCACAGCTTGAGGTTTACCCTAGTAAATCAGGCCTTTTGTGTACAAGTAGTCAGCTGTAATTTACCCTTTCAGTGACCATGAAAACACAAAGTGACAGACACACTGCATGAAGATGAAAACCACACCATATGAAACACCACTGGTTAAAAGGGCAGTTTTTTTTTTCTTCTTTTCTAAATTTCTTTTTCAAAATTTTGCTAGACTTGAATACTTGTTGTGATTATGGGGCAGGCAAGAGATGTGTAAGCCACTATTTAAAAAAAAAAAAAGTGAAATTGTGAGTATTTACTTAGGTTTAGGGCTCGTTCACACCATGGTGCAGATACATCAGTTTTTCCGCACGCGTTCTGCAAGGGCACAACAAAATCAATTGTTCTCTACCTACCCTGTTCACACCACAACACTAGTGCTAATTTTTTTTGCGCAGGAATCTGCAATGTATATAAAACTCATTGAAGTGAGCATGAAAACTGATGTAAACTGATGTCTTTGCAAGTGAAATCTGTGCATCAGTTTCCAAAGAGGCCTTAAAGGTTTTATTTGGGTTAGACTCAAATTTGACATGTATTTTTGGCCAATCTAGTCAGTAACAGAAATATACCTCTTTAAAATCCAATTGTAAACATTCCCATAGACACAGGAGAGCAGTTAGCTTTGCAGAGAATAGTCCCAATGGCAACTGGTGTTACCATGATCCTCTATGTGAGTAGAGATAGGCAAAAGAGTGGTGAAGTGAGATTCTACTGGCACCATTTCTTTCGAGCAGAATTGGAACAGCTGGATCAAGGCTACTTTAACACTGATCCAATGCAAAACACAGCAAAAAGTACAGGCGTTTTTATCACGCTTTCTGAGCATTTTAAAGAACACGTGACTTAAAAACTGCTTCAAAACGCTTCCCGGAGGCATTTTCGAGGCGCTTTTCAGGCGGTTTCCATTGCTTTCAATGGGAAGACGCAGTTCTGGGGCATTTTTAACTCACCAAACATACCCCAAAAATGTTACAAGCAGGATTAGTTTTATACTGCACCGCAAGCGCAACACCTCCGTGTGAAAACATACATAGCTATACATTCACATAAATAGGGAAGCGCTTTTCTTGAAATTTTCAGGCGCTTTTTTTTTTTGTAACTCAAAAACGCTTCAAAAACTCCTTAGTGTGAAAATAGCCTAAGTGTCCATAGACTGTTTAAATCCTTTGTACCTCCTGTGTACATTTGCTGAAAAAAAAAATTACTAATGGTCTAATTCAGGGCTTAAAATTTCGAGTCTAGAACTACTAGCCAGGCACAAACCTTACTCTCCTCCAGTTGCCCCACCCAACCTTGCCCAGGTCCAACAAACATGGAATAATAGTTACTGTAAACATGTTGTATTTTTTATCTCCAGCAGAGACCTTAGAGAAGTGTGTCATTAAGAAAAAAGTGCCTCTTTTGATGGCCAAAAAACATTGCATAAAATATAGAACAATAGTAAACATTTTGCATGTTTTATCTTCAGCATCTTATTAAAAGAGAGCTTAGAGATGTAGTGCATTAAAAAACAAAAAAAGTGCTTATTTAGATGCCAAAAAACATGGCATAACAATAGTAAGCATTTTACCAAAGATGTGCTAATAGAGCAGCCATGGTTTGTGTTGTACAGCAGGACCAAGACTCGTGTAATACCCTTTTTCTGATGCAAAATACCACTTCAATGGCTGCTGTGTGTGGATTGCATTCTATTCAATTAAGAAAAAAAACACCTCTCCTCTTGTCCCCCGAGGCGGGGGAGAGATGACCTCTCCTCGAGTCCCCCATGGATGTGGAGAGGGTGTCTCCTCTCAGCGGAGGAGAGCGGACCTCTCCTGCACCTGTCCCCTCAGCGGCGCTGCCAGTGTAATGGCGGTGCCGAAGAAGCTGGAAACCGGAAGTTGGAAAGCGGAACTCGGCTTCACAATGAGGCTTGGAGCGCAGGTGCAGCCGCTCCATCATCTGTGCTCGCCACAGCAGAATTTCTCCTCGCATTTGGTGAGCGGTTTCTTCAAGCCCTGGTCTAATTACATTATTATAGCTGAATTTTTGATCCACAGTTATTCTGCTGGATAAATCTGAAATGTTGGCTCTGGTTCTGTGAAAAACAGGACATAATGCAGTGCAGGAGAACCCCTTCATGCTACTAAATACAATACGCAGAAACACTGCTTAACTTTCAAAAAGATTACCTTGGAACCAAATTTAACTGCTCTACATGTTCTGCATGAGATATTCTAAAATGGTTATAATCAATTGTGGTCTAGATATACTGATTGGTTTTAGGTTCAGTGAAAGTTCATATCACAGTTACAATAAATGTTAATAGCTTGCAACTGGCCATTCTCAAAGGAGACAATTCCCTACATATCCATAACTCCTGGCAAGACTCAAATTAGATATTCACCACTAGGAGGGAAAAACATAAGAGGAAGTAAATTTGGGGTGACAGATAAACACTTAAATCCTGTAGGAATTACCAACTTCATGCTGAAACTCACATGAAGGGATTACAGAACTATGTAGTTAATGTTGAAATTCCTTTTAATTTAGCCTTCACAATTCCTCAAGATATTTATCCTTAACTGCCATTTTAATAGGGTGTATTAGCTTTTAAAAAAGCAGAATAGTGGAAATGCATGCATAAAATCTCTAATTATAGGTTTACTTATAAGTGCACTTGGTTCATGCAAGTAAAAGAGAACATTTGGGTTTGTCAACAGTAAGCAAAGGGGAAGATGCTTCTTGCACATGCCAGTCTGCAGCTTTTCCGGGAAAGCCATGGATGCTTCTTACCTGTGGTCAATCCTCCCCATCTTCAGGTGTGATTTCTGTCTCTTTATGTACCACTACTTTGGTCACTGACATGTCAGGGTGCTGCTCTTTGGCCTCTTTTATTGCCTGAGCCAGCGCCTAACGCAAGAAGAACCAAAAAGGGAAGGGCGGAAACAAAAAGGGGGGTGGAACATGCATGATCAGTGGCAAGGTGGATATTAATGAGAAAATTTACACAGTATACAAATGCAGATAGACAATTAAACATGGATTATTTAAAAAAAATTACATGTTGAAGCAACTCAAAAGTTGATACTTAGCCCTTTGCCGCCTTTGAAATGTCAGCAGACGGTATGGAAATGTAACTATTTTCTTCATTTATGATTTGCCATGGGAATTAATATTGGTCTTTAAACTCACAACAAAAGTCAATTTATCCCAATAATTAAAAAGCAAAATGGTCAAGTATGACTTCTGGTTGTTGCCTCTTTTGAAATAGTTGAACAGCACTACTGGAAGAATCCAGCACCCTGATAAATCTATACATATATTACCTGATCATGGTCGATGTCAGCATCTCCAGTAATTACTATACGCTTTTCAATTCTGGTCTCTGAAATGCCTCCTTTCACAGTCTATGCAGAAATGAAAATAACCATGAAATAAAAGGTATCAAACATCTGTTTATGCAAGAAATATCCCTAGGCCCTTATCAATCCCAACCATTCATTTCTGCTAGTCGGGATGTTTCATGCTCAGGAACACTCTGTACAGGCATAGATAAGACGTAATGTGCAACACGCCTAAAGCAAGGTAATTGAAACTGGTCTGTATGTAAACTGAGTGCTTGTGCAGTTTTTCCTGCACATTTTAAATTACCTTTTTATGGCACAGCCATCCTAAATAACAAATCACTAAATCACCAGCACAATATAAAGCCATTTAAATCAACAAAATAAGTAAAATTATGTGGATAATTTATTTTAACTGTAACCATACCAATTGTTCTATCAATATTTCTTATAGTATTTGTATTAATCCCTTAAACGGACATGTTTAAGGATTGCTAACTGACAGATTTTTACTTGTATATAAAAAAAATGTGTGTGTGTGTATATATATATATATATATATATATATATATATATATATATATATATAAAAAAATTTTCCCCCCAGTAACATGGATCACAGATCCATGGCAAATAATAAGAATTACACTTTCATGTTCTAACCTGTGTAAGAATAACTGCAGCTGTGTAAAATGAGATAATAACCCAAAGAACCCAACCAGTGTTCATTTGAATCAATTGTTTCTAAAATATAAATAAAGAAAAATTTAAATATAAAAAAGGAGCTTTTCTGGAAATCGTATTTATATAGAAATGGTCAAATATATGAATTATTTGGGTCAGTAACGGTAGTGTGAAGCTGGAATCTCTAATACATTTTGAAGGGGGTGATTAACACTTTCAATATTTTCTTCATTCAAAACATGCATTGTAGTTTCTGTGCATGTTCAGGAACAGCAATCTTCACACTGTCAGTACGATTCGATATGTAGTGCAGTCTGTCATACAAAACACTTGTATGCAATACAGGTGTATGTGTAGACAAGAAAATTCTGTGAGCTTTTTTATGGCCTGATTTCTGCATTAAACTCTAGGGAAATGTAATCTTGACTTCAGTCACAATAAAAGCCACACACATGAAAGCATTCATGGAATTCTAAAGAGTGTCTAAGACACTCTTTAGAATTCCAGAATTCATCTGACAAATGTCAGTGTGGATGACAGATTTATGTACCTGTTGTAACCAAATACATGAATCTTCGGCATGCACCACATATGGAGGCACATTGAGGCCAGAGTGTCCATACAGATACTCTATCCTAAGTGTAGCTGAGCTCCCTTTTTCCACTAGAGCTGTCACAGCAGCAGGAGTTTTAAAGTTGGGTGAGTGGAGCCTGGTGGAGATTCACAGCAAATATTTCCCCATCAGGTCTGCTTCCGTTGTGACTGACAACAGGCAGTTGGCGGATCCTTAGCTATTAGGCAACCTGCCACGGACTACAAAATCTGCTCACTGCCTGCTGTCAATCACAAGGAGAAAGAGGACCTGATGGGGAACTAGTGTTTCATTTTCCCCCTGATGCGCCACCCACTAAGCATCACTGGATGTCAGGAGGCTATTGGTTGAGAAGCTCGCAGTGACTAACAACCAATGACAGATAGTGGTTGCAGTCTTGCAGCTCGACTACACAGCATACAGACACTCTGCCTGTTGCTGTAAACCAACTTGCAATTGGTCCTAATTACCTCCAATTTCATATTTACAAACTGGGGGCAATTATTTTTTAATTTGGTGCATTAATAGCACCACTTTGTAAAAGTGGTGCTATTAAGAACTACCAGAATCTGCTGCACATATCTGTAAAGCTATCAAAATGGGCAGAAAACCATTTTAATGGGCCATCGTACCATAAAGGTGTGAGGGATTTACTGAATTACCAAAATGGTTTGTTTTATACCAAAAGCACACACACCTTTGGACTCCATAATAACCTTATTTACCACAATGCCCACCTAAAGCTATTTTTTTCTTTTATAAAATGTCCCCAGACATCTTTTAAAATAAAAAACCTCAGGCTTCTTTTCCACCAGAAAGTAATAAACTTGGTCATGTGGAATATCAGTTATTCAGGGAGTGCCTTGTATTTTTATCAGCACTTCAGCTCTTTAAGTTTGTGTTGCTCCTGTGGGTGGCTCTAGTTATTTGTTCCTCATTTCCTGTCTGCCACAATTGTAATCCTGCCAGGAGTCCCTAATTTCATCAGGTTCCCATTAGATGCCTCAGAGACCCATGGACACTATCCTTGAAGGACTTGCACAAAAGATATTTAGGTAATGCCCCATCTCTTACCTTCCTCCTTGGAGGCCTCTGTGGTTGAGGAGCCTGCAGGGCCTTTGCCTTCTGTACAATGTATTTTTACACTCATGTTTCTACTACAGCCCTTGCACAGGATTGGGCATTGGTCTCTGCGTTAAACAAGTCTGTGCAGGAAACTCTTAAAATAGAGGATGCTCCAAGCAACTATTCACAGATTTCTTTTCAGTTTGGTACCCACAAACCCTAGACACTCCAACAATCTAGTAAGGTTTTTTCCTTGCCTATTTTTCTTATTTTAAATTAATTTATAAAAAAATTACAATTCCCAGTCAGGACCTTCGTCCATCTGAAAGGCATCACCATTCATTACTCTTTCAAAGGAGAGTTTCTTAAAAATTGACCTCCTTCTCTGTTGTGGACCTGCCTCTATTCAGAACGAACAAGACTACAGTAATCCCAATGGAGAAATTTCCTTCCTTTCAGTATTCTACAGACAGGAAGGCAAAATATATTGCATTTCACTGTCATTTAATCTGCCTTCTTAGCCCATTTTAGCCACAACCTTGGTATCCCAGATGTTTACTAATGTTTTGGCACAATCCAACAGTCAGGATCTTCGAAGAGCTTTGCTGTGTTCTTCAGTAAATTAAAAATTGTCCTTACTGTAACGTCTTTGCTTCTGCATTCTTTGGAGGACACAGTAGTCAACCCTCTGGTTGTTAGAGTCTGTTTAGTTATTCACTGAGCTTTCACAGACATAACAGATGGGGGGTTGGGCCACCAGCAGGAGCCCATCCATAGGCTGTACTTTTGAGCCTAGCATCCCACTCCTGCAGGCAGTGTTATAATTCAATAATTACGATCTACACAGATTTCCTGTGTTCTTCAATGAATGTAGACAACAATGTCAAGAAAAATGGGATTTTTTGAACTTGGTGTTTTTTTTTCAAACTAGAATACTATTTGTGTCTTTTGTTCACAGACGATTGTCCATAAATGTTATGGGAATTTGAAATGGTCTTTTACATACTTTCTATGGTGTTCTTCTATAAATACTTTTTTTAAATGTATAGTGGACACCTGAACAAAGATTGCCAAGTTCAAGAAATTTCTGTAGGTCCTTTAATGTTACTTAGGGCCCATTTGTACCACTGCACTGTGGCAACGTGTGCTGGTGTACAGGTGAAACTCGAAAATTAGAATATCGTGCAAAAGTTCATTTATTTCAGTAATGCAACTTAAAAGGTGAAACTAATATATGATATAGACTCATTACATGCAAAGCAAGATAGTTCAAGCCGTGATTTGTCATAACTGTGATGATTATGGCTTATAGGTCATGAGAACCCCAAATCCACAATCTCAGAAAATTAGAATATTACATGCAATCAATAAAACTAGGATTGTACATAGAACAATATCGGACCTCTAAAAAGTATAAGCATGCATATGTACTCACTACTTGGTTTGGGCCCCTTTTGCAGCAATTACTGCCTCAATGTGGCGTGGCGTGGAAGCTATCAGCCTGTGGCACTGCTGAGGTGTTATGGAAGACCAGGATGCTTCAATAGCAGCCTTCAGCTCTTCTGCATTGTTTGGTCTTATGTCTCTCATCTTTCTCTTGGCAATGCCCCATAGATTCTCTATGGGGTTCAGGTCAGGCGAGTTTGCTGACCAATCAAGCACAGTAATCCCACGGTCATTGAACCAGGTTTTGGTGCTTTTGGCAGTGTGGGCAGGTGTCAAGTCCTGCTGGAAAATGAAGTCAGCATCTCCATAAAGCTCGTCTGCGGAAGGAAGCATGAAGTGCTCCAAAATCTCCTGGTAGACGGCTGCGTTGACCCTGGACTTAATGAAGCACAGTGGACCAACACCAGCAGATGACATTCCCCAAATCAACACAGACTGTGGAAACTTCACACTGGACTTCAAGCATCTTGCAGTGTGTGCCTCTCCATTCTTCCTCCATACTCTGGGTCCTTGGTTTCCAAATGAGAGGCAAAAGTTGCTCTCATCAGAAAAGAGGACTTTGGACCACTGATCAACAGACCAGGTCTGTTTTTTCTTTAGCCCAGGTAAGATGCTTCTGATGTTTGTTGTTCAGGAGCGGCTTGACAGGAGGAATACGACATTTGAAGCCCATGTCCAGGATCCGTCTCTCCAGGCTGCGGTCATCCCTGCTGCTTGTGCAACTTTTTCTAACACACTTTTCCCTTCCACATAACTTTCTATTAATGTGCTTTGATACAGCATTTTGGGAACATCCAACTTCTTTTGCAATTACCTTTTGAGGCTCTCTCCTTATGGAGGGTGTCAATGATGGTTTTCTGCACAACTGTCAGGTCAGCAGTCTTTCCCATGATTGTGATTCCTACTGAACTAGACTGAGAGACCATTTAAAGGCTCAGGAACCGTTTGCAGGTGTTATGGCTTAATTATCTGATTAGAGTGGGACACTTTGAGCCTAGAATATTGCACCTTTTCACAATATTCTAATTTTCTGAGATTGTGGATTTGGAGTTTTCATGAGCTGTAAGCCATAATCATCACAATTATGACAAATCACGGCTTGAACTATCTTGCTTTGCATGTAATGAGTCTATCTCATATATTAGTCTTGTCTTTTAAGTTGCATTACTGAAATAAATTAACTTTTGCACGATATTCTAATTTTTCGAGTTTCACCTGTAGTTCGGTGCCATTCATTGTTAATGGCAACACCTGCAATGCACATCAATGTATTGCATTACCATGCACTGTACCAGCAAGTCAACTTTTGGTGCTTGTGGTGCATAATGCACATTAATGAGAAGCATAATGTGTGTGTGTTAAACACAGCAGACCACTCTGGCTTGAATGGACCATTAGTTGTTTTTTCTTTTTCACTTCTACCAGCAGCATATGCCATAATCTTGTTACTGTATATGTTCTTTGCAAGAAGCCCACTCCTAGGGAGAAGTGCATACATTGTAAGCAAATTCTGCTCACACCTCTAATCTTATCTCATTGAATAGAATATAAATAAAAATTGAACTAAATTGAAATATTTTAGGATATTATGACAAACATGCACATATTGTTTTCCCTTCAAGGCCTTTGATTTTTTTACCACTTGTTCTGAAAGGATTCAACAATGTAAAATGTTTTCAGCTTTGGTTAAAGTGGTTGTAAAAGTAAAAGCTTTTTGTTTTTTTTACCCCCATCACATTCTCTTAATAGTAGCTCCCCTGCAAAGCCCCCTAAATGCTTACTTGAGCCCTATCTTGATCCAGTGCTGTGCACACCTGCAGCAGCTCTTCTCCCCTCTCCCACAGGCTTGGCTGAAAGCAACAGGAGCCATTGGCTTCTGCTGATATGTCAAAACCTGTGAGCATTGAGCGTTTAGGGGGGGAGTGTGGGGGGGGGGGGTTGTTCAAGTCCAGCTGTGCATCTGAATAGGCACAATCAAACTGGCTTGGAATCAAGTCCCACACAAGCACCCCTGTAGAAAAAAAGTCTTCTTATGGTGGGCACTCGGGAGTCAGGGGCGCCGACAGGGGATCCCAGAAAATGATTATGGCATCTGTTAGACCACATTTTAGAAGCAATTAATTCAGAAATCAAGATAATTACCAAGGGCCTAGCTACTTTTTTTGTCACTGTATCTTGCCCTCAGATAAATTAAGGTCAGTTTTGTTTTTCAGCAAAAAGGTGATTACTGAAGGACATCTTGCTAAATATAGACCATCGTGGATATAAATCCTAGATCTTTTGCTAACATTTTTAATGCCCGCATTTATTAGGCTTACATACTAAAATTCCAAAACAGTTTTAATGAGATAAGCCCACATAGTTAATTGGGTGAAAAGCTTTGAAGAACCCTTATTTTATACACTGAAAGTGCCTCCTATACTTAAACATAATCTCTGAATACTCAATAGGATAAAAAAATTGAAAACCATCAAAGTAGTTTTATTTCTTAAACTATCAAAATGGTATTCTTGCCAGTATGAATGATCACAAAATTGCTCTTGCCTAATTTGATCCAGCCTTAGATAACATTCACCAGACTGTAATCAAAACAGTTGTCTGTGCTAAACAATTCGGTATTATATGTAAACAGATAATGATTACATGGCAGGAAAACCATTAATCTGGACAAATCTGCCATTTCTTGATGTGCATGCTGTAGGATTCTGAATATGCAGGGATATAGGGGCCAAAGAATGCAATGGTTTTTAAAGTTCTTTACATCAGGGGTCTCCAAACTGTGGCCCGTAGGCCACATGTGGCCCTTTGTTGCCTCTATCTGGCTATTTGGGAACTATTCCTCCCACTGATACAAGGCACTATTCCTTCCACTGACCCCAAAGAGAGCACTATTCCTTCTACTGACACCAACAATGGGGTACTTTTCCTCCTGCCAACACCAGAGATGGAGAACTAATTCTCCCACTGACACCAATAATGGGGCACTATTACTCCTACTGACACCAATGATGTATTTTTTTTTTTTACTCCCACTAACCACAGTCCAGCCCCCCTAGAGTTTGAAGGGCAGTAAATTGGCCCTTTGTTTCAAAAGTTTTGAGATCCCGCATAATTGAGGCAGCTTTTCCACAACATTTTTCATAAAGAGCTGCCCTATGCTTATAGAAAATACGGTAATAAGAATATTACTAAATAACAAAATAGGTGTATAAATGTATAACTTTTTCATTACAATCACTGTGTTTGATCAGAAAAAGGTACAAACTCTGAGCTGACACAGTAAAAGTAAATGTATACAAATGTTTTGTATGTGCCTATTCAGTTTTTTTTTCTTTTGCCAAAATGAATGTGCTGCTACAGTAAAGAAATGTAGCTGGTAATGCATATAGGCTTGGCTGCAGACCCAGGGATGAGAAATACCACTGAAGGTGCAACTGAGATAACTTACAGGATTCTAAGATCACTGTATACTGAAAGATATGTGCAGCAGAATGGCCCCACTCAACCAGACATCCCTGTAAGTATCTGCAACCCCTGCACCCTTAGAAAATCTGCCACTGAATGTCAATCAGCTGAATTAAAGTAGAGCTATAGGCAAAACGTTTTTTTTTCATTCTGGATAGATGGCAGGGGTTATAACCCTCTGTTTCTCTGTGTCCAATTGGGGAGATATCCCTTCATTCAAACAAGAAACTAGAGGAAATCCCTTGCCTCCCAACTAACATGCCCCCAAATTCCCCCAGGGTCACCAGAACTTTGGAAGATTCCCCTCCTTTACTTTTCTGGGGACAAGCCAAAATTTGGAATTTTCTTTTACTTTCAATGATAACGATAAACAGGACAAACAGAGAAGATGAATCTCCTTAACTGGGACACAGAAAGCAATAAAACTGACGTGTTCTAAGTCCCCTCCACTCTATCCAAGTCTAAGAAAAATGTTTTGCCTTTAGTGATACTTTAAGAAAGAAGTAAGCAAGAGGCAAATGCTTTTTTAAATGAAACACCACTTCCTGAAAGGATTCTAATGCAAAGTGATTGACGCATATTGATTTCCGATGAATAAACAGAAAGTTGCAACATATTTGTAGCAGTCCACATAGCTTTATCATAAATATGGTACATTACAAAAAATATCATATGAATATGTTTGTGGCATGAAAGAATGAGGCGTGACCTTGAGACAGAAGCATGTCATATGTGAACCAGTATGAATGTAATTGTGAGAAATGGTAAAATGACGCACATGTAGTTAGTCAATTAACTTAATCAGTGTGTGTGTGTGTGGGTGTGTGAAGAAATGTATACATAATGTACATATAACTCACTGACCATGTTTCTTTGCTTTGATAACAGCTGAATGTGGAATAAATTGACAAAGTATTCAGTACCATTACAGTTAAGCCCCGTACACAGGAGCCAAATATTGGAACACAATAGCACAGCAGGGGAGATCACTGTACTAACACCTCTTGTTTTACTACAGTGATCTGTCAGTTTTTTTTTTTTTAGTTCAGCCTACTGGGTTGATAAAAAAAAAAAACAAAACAAAACAAAAAAAACTGATAGTGTGTATGGGGCATTAGAAGTAAAAAAATAAAAACACAATATGACCTCCCATGCCTTATTTCTGAAGTGAATATCTGCCATGTAGAAGTGTAGAAAAAAAGCCTGCAACTCCAAAATCCATATAAAGTGCTTTATTTCTATATAGTAATGAGTAAAAAAGTCTGATGCATTTTGGCAAACAGCCTTAATCACAGCCTTGTGTGCCACGTTTTGTGCTATTCTAGTATGCTAGAAAATCTACGAACTTAAAAGAGGAGAAAATATTTACAGCCAAGGCATATGCAACCTTGAAGAGCTATACATATACACCCCATCAAGACTTACTTTGGTAATGTGTGTAGTAGTTGTAGTGCCATGAGATTCTGAAGTTATTGTCTGAGCGCTCATTAAAACACCAGGATCTGTGTCAGGGCGAGACACCATCTAAAAACAAAGTAATGCAAGTACTGCAATTTAATAAAGAGATATTTATTTACTGGAGAATTTTATGGTTATATATGGTTGGGTCACACCAAAAAAAAAAAAAAATAATTACACATAAGTATGAAAGAGACCTTGTAAAACTCACAAACATATGTATGTGTGTACTGTATATGTTTACTGTGACAACCATGTATAATGTCAAACTGTCAGGAATTTTATGAAAACCCAGTGAACTGGATCTGGCCTAAAACATTTCTCAGATAGCAGTGCTAATGTGCAGGCACCAGTAGAGGAGATAGTGTTCAAACTGATGCCTCTTTTTATCCCTTGGACCAAAAAACCTACGGTGTACATTAGACCTCAACAACGGTTATAAAACTGTCAAATGCCACAGCCTCTGCTTGTATTTTGACAGCTGATGGGGTTAGGGCTTGGTGGTATATACAGCCTGGGCTTGACTTATACATAGGGACTGATTGCGCTACAAGGTGTCTTCTCTCTTCAACACTATATTGAGCCTGCCACCATGACTAACTCCACAAGGCACAAAACACTCCTAAATCAGAAAAGACAAGACATAAAGCTAAGCGACAAAGTGTTCTTTTCCTAATGGAGTGGGTCAAATTGAAGACAACACACTGTTATTACCATAGAAATGTGTTAGGCTGGGTTAGGTTCACTTTTAAGAAGAAATTGACCAATATTTTAGTTTTAAGTTCAGAGTTCTGAACATTTTCTCTTTCACCTGGAATCAAGTGTTGAGAAATGAAAGCCACTAAGTCCAAAACCATTTAGTAAATATTCTGAATATGAAGTGTAATCTGTAAAGTAATCCTAGATGAGAGAATAACCTGTCATTAGACCAGCTGTGCTTTATACCACCAAATAAGTGAGTGCAAAGGGCAGGAAAGCTCATTTTGTGCTAATATTTTGGACACCTGTGAAGCCTTAGCCATCTGTAAAGACTGCCGTAAGCTTCCCATTGTGATCTTTAACTGAATCCCTAGGTCCGTGTACAAATGTAGGCTTCTGTTGCCTCACCATTTAGTCTTGCTAAATAGTTTCCTCTGCAACTGTCACCTCTTGGTAGGTCTTCTTTACCGAATAGCAGGGCTGAGTGCTGGAACATTTGTATAGTAATAAAAACCACACCCTTCACATTGTGCACTGCCCATGCTAGTCATTTTTCTGTTCTCTGGTTATTAGAAAATTTGCCACCATGTAATGGCCAAAAAACCCCCCAAAAAACTGGTCATCAAAACTGTCATGATATCTTTTATCCGTTATAGTGACCATATGTAAACTGGATAGAACATAATTGGTCAATTCAACCCTAAAGTTATAGTTATGCCAAGTTATCTTCATATTTTGAATTTAACCCCATATTAGACTAATGGCCTGGTAATGAACATAGTACCATTATGTAATATCCTGAAATTTTATTGGCAGTAAATTTTGCAAAAACATGATAATCAAATACCTCTATTTATGTTTTATCAGACAGAATCAAAGTCCTTGGTCAATATTCCTTTATAATAAAATGTAGCAGGATGTTATATTTACATTTTTTTAATAAGGATTGTTTAAACCATAAAGGAGCCATTAGGGATGCATCTTGAGGTCAGTTTAGATGCAGTGAGTACTTAGCAGAGATCTGGTGTATTATATGATTCTATATCTTTACTGAATTCAGTTTATCCTAGCAGTCAGTGTAGCCTGTGATGGACCACTGAGTACATTAAATGTGTTAAGTAATGTCTGACTGACCATAATGGGTGAGACAAGCGTATGGCCAAAGTGTCTGCTGGTTTCAGATTTACCACTGATTGCTGTGAGAAAGATTCCATGAAATGAAATATACTGATATAATGAGAATGCCACATGTAAAGTATGGAATTGTATTTTGAAAACGACCCAATGGTGACATTTCTTAACAGTAAAAATAGCTTTTAGCATTTAACAAACAGTAAAAAAAAAACTGCATCTCGTAATGTATACAGCATGGAAGTTTTATTTAGACATGTTGTAGTTCATCAAAGCTGTAGAAGAGAGATCCATATTTCATTAACAACTGCAATAATATTCTCCTTAACCAACCACCTTTAGCCCTGGTTCACACCAAATGCCGCTTTGAAATTGCGCTACTTCAGCTGAAGATGTGCTATTTCAAAGCCGCCGGTCAGTGTGATTCCATGTGCGACTTGCCGACTTATGTGCCACTTCATGCACGGATGTCAATGCAACTCGCACATAAAATTGCCAAAAATAGTACAGAAAAAAATCGGTACAAGATCGAGTCGCACCAATTTGAATGGTTCCATAGGCACAAATAGGGTGGGATTTGTCATGTGATTTTGAAACTGTCAAACTGCATGAAAAAATGCGTTGTGTGAACGGAGGCTTAATATTTTTATTACTTGTATATGCATAACAGTTTGCCAAATAGTTAAAGACCCAGAACACTAGTAGTGAGCCCAGGACATAAGCAGCTCTATAGCTCGGCTCACAGTGCCGTGACTTGGGATCAGACTTGTGAGACCCCAAGTCGCATGACATGTGAAATCCCATGTTAGTCAATGACAGCTGTTTTAATTAGCACTACTGAAGTCGCTCCAACTTTAGAAAAGGTTCCAGTACTACTTTAAGGTGATTTCTATCCGACTTGTGCCAATAGACTTTAGTGGAAGTTGCCTCCAAGTTGGATCGTCCTGTAATGTCGGATCCAAATCACATCAATATATATGAAGATTACCCAGGAATTCCCTGAAAGTTGCTTCAAAGTCACTTCAAAGTAGTACTCAAGTCGCGCGACTTTCAGATCGCAGTAGTGTGAACCAAGCTTAAAAAAGGGATCTGGTATTAGGTTCCCTCAAATAATATTTACATTTGGCTCTAGAAAGGAATACATTTTAAATTAGGCAAACATGTTTATATATACTGTATATACAGTATGCATTTACATTTAACATCACACTTGTTTGGTAATTCATCTGAATTAACTTAACATTCCTCTCCAAAAAATGATTTAGCTTCCTTTGACCTGAAATATAGAATTTAATCTTTTTCATATACAGCACCATATCATATACAGGCAGCAATAAAAAATTGACAGGTATTCTAATCCCTCTATCCAAAACTAAAAAAAAAAATGTTGCCTCTAGTTATATTTTAAACCAATATTGCATTAATATGTATTAGTACAAACTACTGATCTTCTCCTGTTACACTTGCAAAATATGCAAACAGATTATTTTGTTCTACTCATATTGTGATGTACCTTCTGAAATTTAACTCTGGCTTTGGGCTTTAAACATGCAGGATTGTGCATCTTCTATTATTGCCTACTACTGGCTTAAAAATGCAGTTTAAGATGCTAGCATCGACTAAAAAAAGTGAAAATTTTAGTGTGAAGTTAAAAAAAAAAAAAAAAAAGTAAAGTAAAAAAAATTGAATTTTTCCAAGAGTAGTGAAATGATCTTCTCTGACAGAGGCTAAGCGTTTTGCTGCACATATTCATCAAATGTGCCCCTTATCCTACCACTAGATATTATTCTTTTTGGCTTCTATTTAGGAAGAATATCAGGATCAGGGTGAGAGGAGTGTTCTTTACTTTTTCCTGTGCTCTACAGCTGCAGAGGTCAGGTCCCTGCATGCTTCTGCCCTTTGCTGGTGGACAGAATTTCCCAGACAACTGGCTGGATGCAACCAGCATGCAGCGGGTGGAAGTTAAAAAAAAAACAAAAAAACTAAAAACTTTGCATCTTAACTTTTCTGGACTGCAGGCACATATGTTAGGTTTACAGCATATTATACTAATATCAACCCCAGTGACTCCCCTCTCTTTGGAGGGATTTTCTTTTACTTCCTGTTGTGGCTGTTGGACAGTGAATCGGGAAATCTCACCAGTGGAACACAAATGGCAAAAAAAAAAATTCCAAATACTGTTCTAGCTTATGTTTCCTATTACAAAAACATGCTGGTGCTGTAGCCCTTCTCAAATGTGCCAAAGAGTATATCAAACTGAAAATGTAATTTTTTTTCTTTAGTTCTTTCATTTTCAGCATGAATAAGTGAACGGCAAGCTAGCTGTAGTTGGAAAATGTTGAATGCTTTTTGTGTGCAACAGGAGAAATGTTTAATGCATTCCCTATGCTCTTACGTTATGATTTTTCTAATTATACTAAGGAAAATTTAGAAAACAGGGAAACTAATTATTAGAATAATGTAGACTGAAACCAGTGCAATAACTAAAAAACAAAAATAGTAACAAACATCCTTTTGATTGCTTTTACCTCTGATGACTCATAGGTAATGGTTTTCGTTTCTGTATGTATTACAGGTACATCCTTAGTGGAAATATCAGGCTTCTCCCCATCTGCGATAGTGCCAAAAGTGATGATCTCGGTTTTCACCAGGGGTGACTGAGTAAAAAGAGATTCCATTTTTCTTTAGATTAGTAAACATAAAATATAGCATTATGTCTTTAAAACACAAACAATTGCAGAAAATTGTAAAAGTATTTTATTTTTTCAAATAAAAATTATTCATTAATTCTGATTACAAAAGGGACCCGAAAATATAAAATTAAATTCTTAAAGATTCAACAACTTTTGTTTCTATATTTTTAAAGTCAGCTAAAAAGTAGTCAACAGTAAGTAGTAACAGTTGAATTCCAATTTGGTAGACTGTTTGGTGAGATGATGATTACTGATGTTCTCTGTGGCAATCTACCACACCAAAGAGAATAATGTAGCCTGATCCTTACAAAATCAGAAAAACAGGCATCTAATTTCTCTGGGTGTCACAAGATAGGGGCACAAACAATTTGCTTTATACTGAAAAGCTGCTGGCAAATCAACATTTCTGAATATAGTAGTGGGTATCTAGATTTACATTACAGATACCCACTCTTGTGTTTTCATAAACAAACTTTGGTTATAGGATTTACATTTTTTTTTTCTTCCCTTTTATGTTTGAACTAGATGGATTTGTGTTCTTTTTTCAGCCAGACTATGTAAAGCCCCGTACACACGATAAGAATATTGGACGAATGATTGTCTGTTTTTTTGGGGGTTTTTTTTGCTCGTTTCATATCAAAAGTGAGGAGGTTACTAAAGTTATGAAAATTCTTGTACAACAGAAAGAAAATTTGGAAGTGATATAATGCATTTGTATTGTATTTTTGAGCAAAAAAAACTGTACTGTTGAAACGAAAATCGTTTCAATCTGGTATTGTATGAGAACATATTTTTTTTGTGCTTGTCCCTTCAAATAATTTTGGATGAAAGTTGTGTACTAATGTCCAGACAAATCAATTTGCTTCAAAAGCGGGAATTTTAGAACAATTTTCCTGATAGAAAAGGCTTTTACCTACAGTTGGCAAAATTTCTGAAATATAGTGTTTTACATTGCTGTTTGAATCATTCAGATCTATCTTACATTTACATTAAAGAGGCACTCTTAGGTGACAAATATAACCAATAACAGTTATAATGAAATAAACAATGTCTTTCTGTGCTCACAGCATTTCAGTATTTATTCAACCCCCAAGTGACCATTCAATCAAACTTAGTACGATGCATCCTTTTACAGTTATAACAGCTTTTAAACGTGAAGCATAGCTTGACACAAGTGTCTTGCAGCGATCTACGGGTATCTTCGCCCATTCTTTTTTCAGTCACAAATTTTAGTGTTCTTCGGAATTTTAAACTGCGATGGCCACTCCAAAATGTTCCAGCCTTTCCTCTGCAATTAGTGGACTTTTGCTTGGGATCATTGTCAAAACGTCTTCCCAAGCCCTCAGGTGTGTGACGGACTGCATCACGTTTTCCATCCAATATATTGGTACTGAAGAGAATTCATGGTACCTTGTCAAAGCTGCTTTTACCTGCAGAAGCAAAACAGCCCCAAAGCATGATTGACCCTCCACCATGCTTCACAGTAGCAAGGTGTTTTTTTCATTCTTGTAGGCCTTGTTCTTCCTCCTCCAAAAACATAGCGTTTTGATCCATGGGGCCCAAACAGATCTAATTTTGTTCATCAGTCCACAGAACACAATCCCACAACTTTTGGGGTTTGTTGCTTTTGGCATAACAACAAATTCTTTGGAGACAAAGGGGTACGCCTGGGAGTTCTATATATTACGCAGTGTGGCGTCTTATTGTCTGTGAAACTTCTTACCCACATCTGACAAATCTTTTCTCAGTTCCTCAGCAGTCAAACGGGACTTCTCTCCACTCTACGCTTCAGGTAGCGCACAGCAGTCGAAGTCAGCAATCTTCTTTCTGAATGAAGGTAGCGTTTTCAACAGTGCCCTTTGCCTTGAATTTGCGAATGATGCTTCCTAGGTGTCTCTTGGTAATTTAAACAATCTTTGCAATCTTCTTATAGCCATTGCCCTTCCTGTGAAGAGTCACCTCTTCTTGTCTTCCTGGACCATTCTCTTGCCTTCACCATGTTTGTAACCACAAAGTGTCTAGAAAGCTGAGTATCACAGTCATTTTAAAGCTGCCTAATTGGTGCTTATTATGCTTGATTGAGCTCGGTGACCATCCACAGGTGTTTTTTTACTGATGGAAAGTGTATGAATGTCTTCAGAGTGGTAGTCTTTTAAGGGGTTGAAAATTGTGTGGCAATGAAGAAACCACATAATGAACCAGACTATATTACATAAACAATTGATTGCTTGCATTTGGGTAGTTACAACGTCCATGTAGGATTGATTTGAATACAATTCAAATGTACGGGCACTATAGTCCCTAAATACAGCAGTATTTATAGGCTTGGACACAACTGTATGTAACTATATGTAACTTGTAAACAAAAAACCCACATTAAGAGCAGAACCTTCAACAGTCAAATTAGAGCCATGTTTGAAATGTGCCACAGTGCATTTCAATTAAAATTTTATCACAAAGACTTTTTTCTATTATAGTAGATCATTATTTTTTATATTTCAAAAGGCACATTTGAGTTTAATATATTATAGTGTATTCTTACTGGACAACACACTCTCTAAATAACAAAGCAATATGAAGCAGGCAAAAGTAAAAACAATGTTCCAAAGCATGGAATTATATAGCACAAGCGTGAGATTAAGCAAGAATTACCATCTGCGCATGTAAAAAATACAAAAGCACAAAGTCAATGTTAGCCAGTTACCTCATCATGAGGCTTGCCATCCAATAGCTGTGTGTCATGAATATCTGAGCCATGCTGCTCCTCTTGAGCATAACTAGCAGCAGAAGCATCAACAGCCCCATCTTCCTCTTTATCAGTTTCCACACTCCCTTTCAAGCAAGAAGCAATGACTGCATTTGCCTTAGCCGCACCATCCAACTGCTCTGCACTCAGTTGAGCAGTATCCCAGCTTGCATGCACACTCCCCGTCTCCTCCAAACTGATTATCCCCTGCACAACCTTCTCTGTCGTTCTTTGCTCTGCATCCTCTTGTCCTACATCTCTGTCAGTTGTTTCCCATTCGGTTTTTGTTTCAGTTTTCTGAAAAGAAATTGGATCACTGTTAACTAAAGATCACTTGCATATTCAGAAAGTAAAATGGGATTTGTATAGATTTTTATTCACATAAAATAATAATAAAGACAAAAGTAAAAAGAAATGAAAACTAGCGGTCTGGCATACAGGCCTAGGCTAAAGCAAGAAAATTAATAACCACGTGACCAGTGATGTAACTATAATGGCTGCATAGGTCTTAAAGTGTATGTAAACCCTAACCAATGAACGTCTCATATTTCGTCCTTTTCGGTCTGTTGAATTTACCATCAAAAGCATTTTGTTTTATCAGTTTGTAATATGCAGAAAAGCACCTAAAAACGTCTTGTGCTATAGAACAACTCCCCCATGTTTTGGAGAAGAGATGGTGTTCGGTAATCTTAGCACATCTTTCGTCCTAAAAGACAACCAGGCTTCTCTATAGATACAGTACAGCGAGTGACCATTGTCACCTTAGGATAGAAAGTATGTTACTGGAAGGATCACCAGGACAAAACAGAAAAAAAACCTGAAAAACACAACTACAGCTTTCATATCTAAGTACTGTAAACTGCAATACATCCGATCTTTTGGTTCATGGGTCTTGATACATTTTAACTGGACCCAGGCTGGGTGGTACTTAAAGACCATGCTTCATACTTTATTCCTTGCCAATGATAGCTATCAACACATCATTACTGAGCATGGAATCACTTCTAAATGCTCCAGGAATAATACGAAGTGTATATATATCCCACAGTACCATGCTGAAGCCATAATGTCATCATAATTTGAATGACTCCTCAAAGTTAGCCCTCAATAGAAGTTAAGGCTATTTTACGATGGCACTCTTTTCCTTGAACCAGCCTGCTAGAATAAATCAGTACTTAGTTATCACCGCTGTTGCATAAAGAACACACAGAGCTCTAGGACCAAAGTCACAAGCACGTGGGTGTAGTCACAAATCACACCCTGATCGACTGCATTTCTTGGGCACTTTGTCTTACTAGTGCCAGAAATGTTTAACAACTACTTTTGTAAAAAAGGAACTTTGAGAGTCTGAAAGTCTGAATCCCAAAACTTTAAATGCTGATAGAAAAAAAAAAAAAAAGTGATTCAGGAAAGATAGAGGACAATATGCAATATGTATTCCCATTTGTTTATAAATATGCCCTTGCAGTTATCTGCAAGTATCTAGACAAACAGTAAATATTAAAAAAGAAGTGGGGCTTTTTTTTTTCTATTTATATTTCCCTAGGTGGATGCCCCCGCCGGCTCGAAGGGTGAGAACTCAGCGATCACATGACCGCTAATCACTAAGTTCTCCTCTGAGCAGAGAGCGGGACTGACAGTCACCGCTGTGTGTTCAGCCCCCCCTGCGCTCACTGGAGCACTGGGCTGTGGGGGGCTCAGGCTCTCTGCGCTTCACTGACAGCCTGAGCCAAGTGCAGCTCCAGACTCTGGGGTGGATCCCAAATTTAAAGTCAGTGTCTTTCCCCAGCCTGGACTGGCTGAGTGCCATCAGCCAACAGCGGACTTCAGTTTGCCATCAGCTGAAAACGGGTCTCAGGAGTACAGAACGAACTGCACTCCTGTGATCCACAGGAGAAGTACAGCCAAAAAAGCTTTGGCTGTACTTCTCCTTAATACTTGAATATGCCTTTTTAAAAATTAAAGTATAAATCATAAGATCCAGGGCAAGGAAGTGCAAAATTGTAAACTAATCTAAAACATTTTCCTTCTTTTTTATGTATATTCAGCGGACCACTAAATTAACTGCTGGGGAGAAAGAGAATTTATTTATGTTTACATGTTTCTAGCCTATTTCTAGACTATAATAATGCAGTACTAAAGCTTCCTTGTCAAACATAAGTATTTTATTTATTTCCCCATTGCTTCTCATTTTACGTTCCATTAAATGCAAAATTCAAACCAATAGAATTTCCATTACTATGCAACAAATAGCCAAGATGCTATATAATTTTGTCCTCCAAGCTTCTGTATATATTTCAAGAAACATTTTATGTGGAATATTTTCAGAGCATTATCTAAATAGTTTTAAGTGTAGCAGTGATTGTAGATCATTGTGTCACTGCAGTTACAGCTATGTCATTTCACATCACCCTCCCTTTTCTTTGTCACTCAAAAAAAATAAAATCATGCATGTAATACTATCAGAACTTTTATAAGCAGAGCTAGTAAGCGCATCCAATCAAGCAGCCACCTGAGCCCAGTTTTGTGAAGTAGTTGTAACCTCTCCTATAAACTCAGATGGCTTTCTTGAAGATTCTAATAAACTGTAGATATCAGAACCATCCATGAGTTTGTCACCAGAAGACTGTTTGGTCTAAACAAACAAAGAAATGAGAAGTCACTGAGAGGACAGAGAATACAAAAAAAGAAACAGAGGGACAGACAGATAATCATAAAATGAATAACAGACAAGTATGAGGCAGGTTAGCTATAGTAAAAGAGAAACATATTTTACAGTAGAGGGCCACTAAACCTAAAACACAAATTGGCTTTAATTATTTGAAGAAAAAAGGAAAGAAATCTTCAGAGGTTCAGAATGGAAGATTTTTCAGTTAAAGTGTTACTAAACCCACAAGAGTAAAATCAGTCTGTATATGCAGTAAAGCATGCTTGATATACTCACTGTTGAACCTCAGGGGTTAATCCTCTGCATTGTGTATAAATTCTGTTTGATCCTGACTTCTCTGATCCTCCCCTTCTTCCAGTGCCCCCCTCTTATCTCCTGATAAAACATTTTGTATGGAGACACTCTGCATATGCTCAGTTTGGTGTGTATTGCTAGAAAGGTTGTTTTTTTTCCTTGGGAAAAAGCATTTGATCAACACAGGGCCAATCAACACTGTCCAGAGGTCAGGGGGTTCTGCATCCTCCTGCAGCAGAAATAAAACTCCTTCTACAAGCTATAATCAGTGCTCAGCTGGACACTGATAGCAGCCACAAGACTGCTCTGACTGCTGATGAGAAAAGGTATTTAGCCGTTATATTTACTAACATAATTGCATTTCCATATTCTGTGAATTGTGGGAGACCAGAAAGAGTGTATGCAGGGTCCTGGGTTTAGTGACACTTTAAGATAATGGATAAAACTAAAGCACCCTTCCTTTGCAGAGATGTGATGCTTTAAGCTCCAAATGTAGATTCTGTATACAATTTATAAATATGCATGTGCATGAGAGATTGAAGAGCAAACACGCAGTTTATTATAAAAAGTCACATGATCGGAGAAATCTCAGAGAACCCCAAAGAGCCCCTTTGTGAGTGTTGTGTATGAGCACTGGAGGGAAAACAACAGTGGTAGCTGAGCAACAAATTGGAGAGCAAGCCAGGTGGAAGAAGGCAGTCGATGTGTAGTGCAGATCGTAGGTAATATCTTTTTGTTTATGTACTATGGAGAAGGGACTTGAAGGCTGTGGGATTGGATCTGAGGACTATCGTACAATAAAATTACAAAACAATGTGTTGTTACTTTAATGACAAATCTCTGCAAATGAATAATTCCAGGACTACTGGCAGGGACTTCATTAAACATTCATAAAAATATATGTAAAAGGTCCTATATTCATACACAATTTTAGATGTTTAACCCTGCTTCAGCATTTGTTGTGTAGAGGCGTGTGACCTACTGTTTTATATTATTGGCCACAGTATTGATATTGTTACAAAAATCTTCAGCTCTAATAAGCATTTCGAACCTTTATGTACAGCTAAGCTATTTATTAGCTATCTTATTTTTTACATAAGCCAACTTGAGTTTGTAGAGTCAAATTAAAGTGCACCACTCCAAGCGCTCTTCCAAATGCTGAAATATGGTGTTGGCTTGGCGTCCATCATTCCTCAACACATAGCTCTGTATAATCTAAAGAAAAAGCCGCACACCATTTATATCCTCACAAGCAAAACTCTAATCAGCCAACAAGCTTCAGCGCATGGTTCAGCCTCTAGGACCACTGCTCTAACATGCTTCACCCAATGGGCTTAATCATAGAGGATCATGATTAAACCCTCCTGATGAAACAGGTTAGTGGGGTGGTCCTGGGAGCAGGGCCATGAGCTGAAGCTGATTGCGGATTAAAGTTCTGCCTGTGAGGACACTATTGGTGTGGGCATTTTCCATTGGATAATAAGCCAACTTGAGTTTTAGATTTACTGAGCCCTCTACGAAAGCCATCTCTCCAACTATTGCTGAATTAAGATTATCAGTATAGTTTGGCATGGTTGGATTACCATGGGGAGATGAAAGCTGGAGAGTGAAATTATAAATATAAAACAATACAAAAAAGTAACAGAGCTCCCCAACTCCACTGAAAAGCTAGGGAAAGAAAGACCTGGTAGCCAGCTTTGGAGAGTCAGGTCTTGATTTAATAACTAAGAGGAAAGAGAAAACTGACAGACATGAGATAAATTACAACAGAAAACGAACAAATATTAATACGATAAATGCACCACACAATAGGATATCAGGGAAAGAAGCCATGAAGGTTAAAGGACATGGCAGAAAGTAAGAAAATAAAACTAGCACACATTTATAATGCTTTTAAGAAAGCAGAGGCCCTATTCAACAGCCCAAAGTAACAAAAATTAATTGAGAAGGTCAAAGAAAGCTTCAATAATGTTAATGTGCTCCTTAATAATTTGAAGCTTTATATGGTACAAATGACATCAAATTTTAGTACTGATATCTATAAAATTCAAGTATTATCCACAAAAATGGTTTGGAAAGTCTATTTTATCTTACGGAGTATAGACAACATAACTATACAATTTCACAAGTGCTTCTTCTCCAACTGCTACAAATCATTATGGATAGAAGTGTTATTTTTCTCAAGCATAAACGGCTTGCCATTTATTGTGAATTAACAAGCCCCATCTCTTTAAACCTGGCAACTCACACGCCCAAACCAATTAATGATAAACAGAATTTTACCAACTGTGGTTTTCAAGGGAACTTCATGTACCCTAATCCTTTTAGACACCACAGAAACTATCAAGGCATTCTAAAAAGAATCCTGCTGCTTCTTGGATTATATGAGGTATGTGATGGCACACTGCTATACTATAGAGTTATGGCACTTTGTCACATTCTACAATATCATTTTCTTTCCATGCAGGAAAGAAGATGCTTAGCGTGCAGCGTCTTGCAGAATGGGAGAACACATGTAAATCTTTCTGCCCTACAATATAAAGTGCAAGACAGCATATGAACCCACATTAGCCAGTGAGAAGAAGTCAGCTTTCAGGAGCTTAGCAGGTTTAGAGTAATAGGAGTATTAGAATATTGAACTATGTTAGTCATCAATTATTGCAGGCAGTTTGGCGTTTAAGCGATATACCCATTATTGGCTACATTTTTAGAGATGTAAGCTTTTAGGATGCCTTAGATCACTTTTCCAGACTTGTATCATTTCTATAATGGTTCTAAAACCTACATACAGTACCTTGAAAAAGTATTCATACCCCTTGAAATTTTCCACAGTTTGTCATATTACAACCAAAAACATAAATGTATTTTATTGGGATTTTATGTGATAAACCAACACAAAGTGTCACATAATTGTGAAGTGGAAGGAAAATGATAAATGGTGTCCACAATTTTTACAAATAAATATCTGAAAAGTGTGGCGTGCATTTCTATTCAGCCCTCATGAGTCAATACTTTGTAGAAGCACCTTTCACTGCAATTACAGCTGAAAGTCTTTTTGGGTATGTCTCTACCAGCTTTGCACATCTAGAGATTGAAATTTTTGCCCATTCGTCTTTGCAAAATAGCTCAAGCTCTGTCAAATTGGATGGAGAGCTTCTGTAAACAGCAATTTTCAAGTCTTGCCACAGATTCTCAATTGGATTTAGATCTGGACTGGGCCATTCCAACACATGAATATACTTTGATCTAAACCAGGGGCCTCCAAACTATGGCCCTCTAGGTGTTGAGTTACTGCAAGTCCCATGAGGCCTTGCAAGACTCTGATAGCCACAGGCAAGACTCCCAGAAGCAGAGGCATGATGGGACTTGTAGTAATTCAACAGCCGGACGGCCATAGTTTGAAGACCCCTGATCTAAACTATTCTATTGTAGCTTTGGCTGTATGTTTAGGGTCTTTGTCCTGCTGAAAGCTGAACCTCCACCCCAGTTTCAAGTCTTTTACAGACTCTAATAGGTTTTCATCTAAGGCTGCCCTGTATTTGGCTCCATCAATCTTCCCATCAACTCTGGCCAGCTTCCCTGTCCCTGCTGAAGAAAAGCATCCCCACAACATAATGCTGCCACCACGTTTCACGGTGAGGATGGTGTGTTCAGGGTGATGTGCAGTGTTACTTTTATGCCACACATAGCGTTTTGCTTTTAGGTCAAAAAGTTAAATTTTTGGTCTCATCTGACCAGAGCACATTCTTCCACGTTTGCTGTGTCCCCCCACATGGCTTCTCGCAAACTGAAAATGGGACTTCTTATGACTTTCTTTGAACAATGGCTTTCTTCTTGCCATTCTTCCATAAAGGCAGGATTTGCACAACTAATAGTTGTCCTGTGAACAGATTCTCCCACCTGAGCTGTGGATCTCTGCAGCTCCTCCAGAGTTACCATGGGCCTCTTGGGTGCTTTTCTGATTAATGTTCTCCTTGCCCAGCCTGTCAGTTTAGATGAATGGCCATTTCTTGGTAGGTTTACAGTTGTGCCATACTCTTTCCATTTTCGGATGATGGATTGAACAGTGTTCCATGAGATGTTCAAAGCTTGGGATTTTTTTTTTCATAACCTAACCCTGCTTTAAACCTCTCCACAACTTTATCCCTAACCTGTCTAATGTGTGTTCCTTGGCCTTCATGATGCTGTTTGTTCACTAATGTTCTCTAACAAGGACAGCTGTTCACAGAACAGCTGTAGGCAATTGGTTCCACTACATTTTAGTTAGGGGTATCAGAGTAAGGGGGGCTGAATATAAATGCACGCTACAATTTTCAGGTATTTATTTCTAAAAAATTTTTAATACAATTTATTATTTTCCTTCCACTTCACAGTTATGTGCCACTTTGTGTTGGTCTATCACATAAAATCCCAATAAAATACATTTACGTTTTTGGTTGTAACATGAAAAATTGTGGAAAATTTCAAGGGGTATGAATACTTTTTCAAGGCACTGTATTTACACACAGTTACAAATAAGAGTAATGAAATACAAATATTAAAAAAAAAAACTTTGTTTATGTTTTATAGTTTTATTTTATCACTCCCTCCTTTAACCCTGTGTATAAGTATGTGGTTTTCAGAAACATTTTCAGAATCCTAGAAAAACCCTGAACAACGGATCTGAGGCATCT